TCTCTCTCTCTCTCTCTCTCTCTCTCTCTCTCTCTCTCTCTCTCTCTCTCTCTCTCTCTCTCTCTCTCTCTCTCGTGTTAGCTCTTAGTCTCATTAATTTGGCTACCTTAGGGTTGCGTTCCCCTCGCCCATGTGGTAGACAATGTGTGTGTGTGTGTGTGTGTGTGTGAGAGAGAGAGAAGAGAGGGAGAGAAAGAGAGAGAGAGAGAGAGAGAGAGAGAGAGAGAGAGAGAGAGAGAGAGAGACACACACACACACACACACACATGCAATATGCAGCATGTTAGTGGCGAGGAGCACAAGGCCAGGCGCTGACCTCCAACAAAAAGGAGTAATTTTATCGGAATACAAGAGTATTTTATTTTCGAAATCCGAATAGAAAGGGTACATGTTGTATTCGAATACAACGTGCGCGTTTTCTATTCGAGGAACTCTGCTATTTCGCAGCCCTTAGGCTGCGGTATAGTGGGCTTCCGCATCTGTGTCAAGGTGTCGCATTTTTGGCGGCGGGCGACCAAGACACAAAGTGGGTTCTTAGGGGGCAGAAAAAATTGGGGGACCGGTGCTTGCCAAAATTGCGGACTAACTACAACTAGCTCTGGTAGAACCGGGACTTTTGGAAAAACGAAGGACCGGTCCTCGGGTGGAAGTGGACCCCAAAAAGAAGTGGGGGGCATTGGACCAGTCCTCGGGTAGAAGCGGACCCCAAAAAGAAGTGAGGGCATGTGAACTGCGAAAGGGCCCTCAGGCCCAGGCGTTGAGCCCCGTCTTCTCAAAACAGGGAGGTCAGGCACAAAGAAACAGGCGTTTTGCAAGAGGCAACTTTGGCGATTTTTTGTGCTCAGACGAACTAAGAAAGTACTCCAAATTCAGTGAGTTTTCGCGCTCAGAAGAATGCGTGAAAAAACCTGAAAATTGGAGTACTCGTAGATTTTGTTGTGATCTTTCCAGAAAAAACGCAACATAAAAAAAATAAAAATCATTCCAACTGCGAAATAGATTGCGGTCGCAATTTGACCCATATTTCAATTTTGCCATTCTCTCTCTCTCTCTCTCTCTCTCTTGTGTTAGCTCTTAGTCTCATTGATTTGGCTACCTTAGGGCTGCGTTCCCCGCGCCCAAGCGGTAGACAATTGAGAAAAGTGGACCCTTACCATTTCAATTTTGAAAAAGGACTGCGGCCTCCTCGGCCTCCTATGCGCAGCTGCTGGTCCTACGCGGTCCTAGACCAAAACCCGCGTGGTCCCACGCGCAGCTACCGGTCCTGCAGTTCGCAGCCCGTCAGGGGTGCGTTATTCCCCCTTTGAGACACAGAGATATTTTTTCGTCATCCTTCGTTATACCGGTTGTTCATTACGGGTCGTTGGAAGGCCCAAAAAATGCAAGAAGGTTGAGGTATGGCACTTTGGGGGGTGGTGGCAGTTTGTTTGAAAAATGAGGGACCGGTAGCTGCTGGTGGGACCGAGCTTTGGGTTTTGGTCGGAACAGGTTTTGGTCAAAATCGAAACGGTGGCAAAGCAGGGGCAAATAGAAAGGGCGCACGGGGCCGGGGGCAGGGGCAGAAAAGTCCGACGAAAGTGC